GGTTTCTCCTCCATGCTGTGGGAATTGACTGCAGCAACACTAATCTGAGCAGCTTTCAGAAATGGCTCTAGGTTTCTTTCTCTGTGTATAGAGGATTGAAGCAGCCCGGTGAACTCTCTTTGGGCAAAGAAGTGGATCCACGGATATATGATTTTGTTCTAAGATTGTCCTCTGGCTGTTGTGCTTGGAGATGGTCAGAAGATTTGTATCTCAAATGAAACGTTTTCATAGTTAGTGGTAGGGATTGAAAATAGAAAGTCTAAAGGAAACAGAACAAACAACTGAAAAATCAGCTGAAAAATCTGACTAAACCCCATGATTACTTTTTTTTTTCTTTTTCCTCCTATCTATGCCACTTTGCTCTAGTCAGCGCAACAGTTTTGGAAGGTGCGCTAGTGAGAAATTGAGTGCTTTTTTTTTTATTTTTTTTTTGGGGGGCTGGTGATCTCAGATGTCTCTATGCTATGCTGGTAAACTCTCTTTAGACATAAGTTGGGGCAGTTAGGATAATGTTTCAGGCATTACGTGTGCGTTCAAAGAACGCAGAGCTGACTTAAAACTTCGTTGTTCCCTTGCTTATCAGTGAAATGCCCTGGGTGAGTTGCTTTGTTGGATGTCAGCTCTGACAAAGAACAAGGGACGTGTTGAAGGACTTCTCAAGCTATTTCTCTACTAAGAGACTCGTGAGCTTCCACTTGCGGTAGGTGTCGCGCCCGGCTGCAGCGACAGAGCCAGTCTGTGGTCACCCCCTGGCTGCTCTTGCACCACTTGCTCTGGAAACGTGTACCTGGGCTGGTGGTGCTGTGCACAGTCAGTGCTTCAGGCATTTCTGTGGGACCACAACAGGTTATTTTAAGCACTTATTAATTTTAGCCTCTCCGTGCTTCGTGGCACACGAACAACTCATTGCTGTGCTTGCCTAATTTCCAGCATCACCAGCATCCGGTTCTTCAACAGTAAGTGAAGCGTAACGTGGTTTTTGGAAAAATTCTTACTCCTGGCTTTTGATGACAGTATCTACCAGAGTTTCAACCCAAATTTCTCTGCGTTCTCTGTGCTTGACTGTAGCTCTGGATAGATTATGCCAGACCAGGAGATGCAGTCAGGATGCTCAGCAAGTAGCTTCTCCCAGCTGAGACTAGGGTAAGAGAGACAATCTTAATTTGTCTGTGGTGTGAAACCCCTTCCTCTGATCCATCCTGAGTGTTTGTGTCACTAGCTGTCTCTTTGGTTTGTGGTGCAGCGTGAAAAAGCACCTGGTTTGCCTGAGCTGGGGCGTGTACCACCACGTACAGCCAGTGCCCTCCTGGTTCTCTGGTACTATTTGCCTCTATCATATCAATATTTCTGTGTTTTATAGTCTACATCGCTGCTGCTGGTGTCCTAAATGAGAAATCACAGAATGTATTTTACATGACTTAGTATTGTACCGTTGAGGGAAAACTGTTAGGAAGTAGTTTCACATCGATTTTGCTGTGCCCTGTGTAATCTTGAATTCAATCTAAGGTGCACTGCCTAATATCAGGTGTGTTAATGCCTCCTACTAAAAAGTCCTCATAGAAATGAGGTTGGAAAGCAGCATATTTATGTCCTCATTTATATCATATAAATTATCATCGGAAATCAAAACCCAAAATGGAACTTAACAGCATGCATAGCTCTAGGACAGGAGGTAACTTTTTCTCAGAAAACTTGTTTAACTCATATCTGCAGATGGTGCAGAGAGGGGAATTGCAGAAAGAAAATTTACTTTGGGACAGAAGACTGCTCTAATGAAACGATTTCCAAAAAAGGCAGGAGAGGAGAGGAGAGAGGCTGGAGCTGGACGCAGAAGGCAGGGAGGGAGGAGGGGAGAGTCTTGGGATATGGGGCTGTGCAGAGATGAGAGGCGGGTGGACCTGTGCGTGGCCAAAGAGGGGAGAACAAGAGCTTGGCAAAGGCAAGAAGACGTTGTGAAAGTTTTGGGGTAGGGTTGTGGCCAGTGGCAGAAGAGGAAGGAGTCTGGCTGGTTGTTTTCAGTGTAGACAAGAGCCACTGGACTTTGGAAAAATCCCGGCAGCTTGTTTAACCGGGTGTTTTCCTTTGCCCTTTAATAGATGATCCTGCAAGGATCACTTCATGCTCCTGATTGTTTTCTTTTTGTAAAGCAAATGAGTCTTTCTGCGTGCCCTGGGTCTGCCGAGTGGCAGCAAGAGGCCAGACTGACCTTTGCGATTGCTCCGAAAGGGTATTCCCGTCCCCAGCCAAGGCAAAACTCATCCAGCCCCATCACCCCCACCACCTCCCCGGGGCCTGCGGACAAACCACCCGCCTCCTGAGAAGGGCTGATCTGTGGCAAAACCTTTCCCAGTGATTGTAAAGGTAGGAAGCAACACGGGAACATAATTTCCTACAGCGTAACAGCTGGACCTTGAGCTGCCGCCTCTCTGTTCACCAGATTAACTTGTTAGGATGTGCAGACTTCCTTTCCTGCACTCCCATGAGTGATCTTCAGTATGAAACTGTTCAGGCAGGATAGCCAGCTCCTGCTGGAGGGAAAGCACCAGGGTCCTGCTCTGGCAGCAGTGAGCTCCTTAGCACGTAGCTCAAGTGAACTCCCAGGGGTGGAAAAGAGTTTTCCTGGCCTTCCTGGAGGAAGGGGAAAAAAAAAAACAACCCAAAAAACCCCACCAAAGACAAGTGGCTAGGTACAATGCCTGTTGTGCTCTCTACTCCAGGAGGAACCAAGTTGAAAACTTGAAAGTAAGATTCATTCTCTGAATCACAGAATCACAGAATGGTCAAGGTTGGAAGGGATGTCTGGAGATCATCTAGTCCAACCCCCAGATCATCTAGTCTGACCCCCAATCTTCCAGGATCAGGATCAGTCTGAAGTGTGATAATACCAACAAAGTTCCTGCCCGTGGCGGGGGGGTTGAAACTAGATGAAGACCTTTAAGGTCCCTTCCAACCCAAAACATTCTAGGATTCTGTGGTGATAAAGTCCAGTTAAGCTCCTTAAAGAGTCTCTTACAGAACCACTTAGCCAATAAGTGATTTTGAGGCAAATATTGGTTAGATTTTTTTTGGTGATAACTCATGACTGAGGCAGAAAACAAATTTAGATCTGTGAAGCCTTCAAAATAGCCTGAAAGGTGACTTTGGTGGTCTCCATGGAAACTCATCTGTTCTGTAGCTTTGCAGAGGACTTATACAAGAGCTGCTGCCTGACTTAAAAAAAAAAATAAAATTTAAAAACAAACCCCCAAACCTACTAGAACTGAATTGAGGGTGCTCCCAGACACACCATGAAGCGTGGCCTGTAGCAGAGAGGGGCTGTTCCTTCCAGAGCAGCTCTGCTGGGTAAAAGCTTGATGTGACTTTCTGGGTTGGTGACTCCAGTTTAGGTTACGGCGAAGAAGCGGCTTCATGGGAGGGACTCCTTGGTCTGCGCTCACCTGTTACAAGTAAGGCTGCGGGGTGCTCTCTGGTCGGACTTTGCGCATGTCCTGTGTAACTTTCGGGTACAGAGCACGCCCCAGCTGCCTGTCCCTCTTTGGGGAGCAACTTGCAAAAGAAATTACTCCAATTTTGCCGAGATTTATGACTTTGGGAATGACACGACTGGTTTCTGGCTGCTTTTCAACGGTCTGTAGTACGCACAGTTGGAGCTGGGAGCCTGAGCTCTGCCCCGTGCCCGGAGCTCCCTCTTGGGTGGCATCTCTGACTCTTTTCCCAAGTGGGGATAAAATGGGAGGAGGAGGTGAGCCAGACCCTGGGGGATCAGGCTGCTTCTCTGTTTGTGAGCGGTGGTTCCACTTGGCTGAAGGGTCTGGGGAGGTCTGCTGGAGCAGAGCAGCATGGTGCTGGCTCTTCTTTCTGCTCTCCTTTGGCAACTTTATGGAGGAGGAAAGCCCTCCTTGGGAAAACTCGTTATTTTCCAAAAAGAGAAGGGACAGAGAAAATGTGTAGAATTTTTAGTCCTCATTCTAAGACAAATTTTTTGCATTCTGCAAATGCTAAGACTGGGATGGGAGTGCACTGACTGTGTCTTCCAAGAAGCTAGAACCAAGCAATAAAAAAAAAAAGAGAGAATTCTCTTTAGGCTGTCTGGAGTAATGACTTCTCTTCTAATGGCTGTTTTTCAGCTGCAGGAAAGCTCTTGAACTGAACTGACCAGCTTTTTCAGAAGCACCTAGGCAGGACTGTGCTCCTGATTCTTAGACAGAAAGGGGAATGCCTGGGAAAACCAGCCGTGGTGACTTCTCTAAAAGCTGATCTAAGCCATCTGTTTGAAGTATGAAACATATCACTTTCTTGACTGAGATATGATGTCACACAGTTTCCATTGTTACGTCTGGATTTACTGCAAGAGAAAAAGGCCTGTTTCTGATCTTTCACAAAGAGCTTTCTTCCCAGACGAGGGGGGCTTCTGTTCTCTTGCGTTTAATCGAGCTGGCCTCTAGTGCTCAAACCAGTGAGTCCAAGCGCTGGTGTTAGGGTCCGGTCCAGTACCGGGGAGCTGTTTGCTTTATGTGACAGTGGTTCTTTGCGGTTTTTTTGCTGAGTGTTTTGGGTGAGTTTTTTTTAATATTTTCCTCTGCTGTTTCTTACGACTGGTCTGAAGAGCACGCTGTCTTCCCTCTGGCTCTGTTCTTTTCACCTTCACAGTTGGCTCTCGCTGTGTGATTTCATTCATGCGGACAAATTGTTCTGGCACGTACATGGTGTGTACATGACCAGGGCATGGCTGGGCGTGCAGCACTCGGCTGCCTTCGCCCAAGGTGCTCGGCTTGCGCTGCCTGTACAGCCACCCTGAGGGGTTTTCGTATGTGAAGGCATCTCTGCTCGCTCTTCTGAGCCTTGCTCAGGTTACGCTTGCGTCTCCTTCCCAAGGCGAGAGTAAAATTGTCTCCAGCTGGGAGGCAGATGAGTGAAGATACAGTAATGTGACCTTTGTAGTTGGTGTTCAAGTGAGATGGGAAGACCTGCGAGACAGATTTTAGCGTTCTGTCTCTGTTACAGAGCCAGGCGACGTCGTGGTGGCCCAGGAAGCATGTGGCTGTGGCGCTGGCGGCCCTGAAGACTCTCTGGCTTGCGGGAAGGAATGCTACGGTGGGCAGTGCACTTGGAAGGTGGGCCGCGGAGGGTGAACCACGCGGCTGTGGCCGTCGGACACAAGGTCTATTCCTTTGGCGGATATTGTTCTGGAGAAGACTATGAGACTCTGCGGCAGATTGATGTCCACGTTTTTAACGCAGGTAAATGCGTCCTTGTGGTGCACGAAGGGGTGGTGGTGCTGGGCTCAGTTATTAGTTTTCTTGCCCATTCTTACACTGTGTAACAGGCTGACTGACTCTAATTTCCAGAAAAGTTATGTGAGTAGATGGGAGCCTCTTCCCTTGTGCAGCCCTGTATTTGCAGCTTCAGGAGCAGGGCACAGAGGGGTTGTAGTCTGGCAAACTGCTAGGATAAGGACTCACTAGGAGTAACCACAGAGCCATTGGCTTGTTTTGTACTTGTTCTCTGTGAACACTAACTCAGCTGGGTGCAAAGAGGCAAGGTTTAGCTTGTGGTGTGACCGTGCTCAGCTGCCTTTGGTGTGGAAGGGGCAGGCTGGGAGCCAGTGCACTCAGTTAAGTCTCCAAGTGTAGAGTCCCGAGTTGTTTCCCTGTGGAGACAGCTGGCAGCCACTGGCCAGCGTGGTGGAGTCAGTGGGGACATGTGGCTGGGGTGGAGGCCTTCCCATTTTGATTCACAGCATAGCTGAGAGAAACATCCGGAGCTGGAAACATTTGTGTAGGGTAGCCTGTATCTGTCAGGTGGCTGAGCTGGAGCTGTGACTGTGCTGGGAGAGGTTCTTTTTCTTGATTCAGTGTTCTCTGAACTGACGGCGTTACTGAACTGGTCTGTGAAGGATTTCCCTGTGATTAGGCAGGTGGTTGAAGAACCTCACAGTTGTTTGGATGGGTCCAGCTGAACAGAGACAAGAGCAAAGAACCACTGACCAGTTTTGCAGACTGGACAGCACACTGAGCGCTCTCATGACACACGCCTGACAGATAAACTATAGTTTGCCTGTAAGGTGCAGTGAATTCCCTCTTCTAAACCCGACTGTGGAGAAGACTGACTTGTGCAGTAGTGGATAAAAGCATTGATTACAACAGGGCTGCTGAGGTGACCTGCTCACAGTGTAGCTCAGGATCTTGTGAGAGACAGTTGAATGTTGTAGCTTGTAAACGTGCCAGCAGAGCACTGCTCTTATGGTGGAAGCGTAATTACTGTGCCCAAAGGAATGCTCTTACCCCTCCCAAATATTAAAAGTGTCACGATGCTGCAGCTACCACTTGGGAGGTGACGCTGGCTTCCCAAGCCCTCACTCAGTTAGCCTTACCAGGTTCCAGTGCTGAAGCTAAGATACCAGATTTTGTATGATCTCTTTCAGTCTTCCAAAGAGGAAAACGTGCTTTGGGTAGGAAACATCCCACCTGACTTGACTTCACCATGGGCTGTGCTTCTTCAGCGCCCTTTCTGCCTGTGGGGTAGATGCTCACCTTTCAAGACGCCTGACCCTTTACCTTTCCCTATGTTATTCTTTCAGGGAAACTGCAGACAGTTTTCTGCTCTATTTTTGTGTTATCTTCATACTTAAAACAAAACTGGAGGCTGTATATTTGGTAGAGGGAGGGTGTCTGGGGGCTGTTATTTAATGGCCATGTAACACTCGCTGTGACTCCTGTGCTGTCACTAACCCTGCAATACCTGGTGACTGCCCTTGGCTGCTGTTGAACGTGACACACAGGCTGCCAGGAAGGGCAACCTGTAATCATGAGGAATTCCTGTTAGTAACCCAGGGTTAACAGGGAGAGTATGGGTGGGGGTAAAGGAGACAGACAGCTGTCTCAGTTTCAAAAACAACACAAAAGCAACACAAAGCTGCTGTTTTGCTTTACTTAAATTGCACTTAAACTGCGAGTCCAAATGATGCCTTCAGATGTGTTCCCTTGCATGTTGAAGTGAATTATTCCTGTGCTGCCATTCTTTCAGTCTTTAAAAATGTCACTAGCCTGAAGTAGTGTCTGCATTCATTATCGCCTCTGCACTTTTTCCTTTCCCTATTTATTTTTGTGTGTGTTCTGTACCTCCACTCGCAGTCTAGGATGAGCCATTCAGTGTAATTGATGCAGAATGGAGCCTATTTCTGTCCAGAGTCCTCTGGTCCTCCAGTGCTTCCTCTAGTCTCACCAGTGGTGAGGACTTGTGGAAAACTGTGCTTCCATATTCCTTACTTATCTGCTACTCAGAGTCAGACACAGCTTTGTCTTGCTTATTAGCTTGATTCTCCACCTTGTTATAGGAGGGGGAAAAAGCGCCACGCAGGATGAGGTATGTGCTGCGGGCATGCACAGCGGGCTTAGCATTTGACATGGGCTCAAATTTACGCTTTCAGTGTCTCTGCGGTGGATCAAGTTGCCTCCAGTGTGGACCAACAGCCGAGACCATGTGAGAGAGGTGCCCTACATGAGGTATGGGCACTCAGCAGTGCTCATAGACGACACCGTCTACATATGGGGTGGTCGCAACGACACTGAGGGAGCCTGCAACGTGCTCTATGCCTTTGATGTCAGTAAGTTCCAGTCTCTCACACTTCCTTGGCACAGCTGCTCTTGATGAGACCTTCTCTCTGCTCCATGATACTGTTCCCCAGCTTGTTTTCTTGTCCCTCGGTCTCCGCGAAGTGACAGTCTGGAGGAAATGGTGCAAATGGGGAATTGATGTTGGTGGCCCTTTCAGCAGGCTTGGAATGGGAGCAGGGCAGCCAGTGTGCCTGCACACTTTGCTCTCTGTAAAAGCCTTTGAACAGGGATTACTGAGCTTGTCTGACAGTCAAACTGGTTTTAATTTTTCTGTAAGCTTTGTGTGCTCTCTCTGTTAGTAACTGTAACCGAAGTGTTCTCTCTGTGTGATGTATTGTTCCTTAGCTGTGGCTGTAGGTTGCAGCAAGGAGGTGCTAGAGGTCTTGAGGATTGTAGTTCCTCTCCACGTGATCCTTCTTTCTGAAAGCATGAAGGAGACTGAGGAATAAAACACAGAAGTAGTTAGGAACAGGATGGCAAAATAAGGGGAAGCATGTGTTAAGTTAGGGAAACCTGAAACAAAACTCCTTGAGCTTTCTGGTTGGCTTCTCCCTAGTGCTGCTGGAGCACCTGGGGAGAACAGGCACCATCAGAAACTGTGTGGGCAGGAGTGTCAGGAAAAGAAGAGACTATATCTGGATTCTAGAGGCAAATCCATCTAGCCGTACTGGCTAGTAACTGGCCTGCTGGACTCGCAAGGAAACTGCTTGCTCTGGTGCTTGGTCATGGGTTCTCTTCTCACAGCTTAGAGCTGCTCTCTGGGCACAGGGTTTCCCCCTTCCCCTGACAGATGCAGATGGGAAGCCACCAGTAAAACCTCTGCCTACACAGAGGCCTTGTAGTTGGAGCTGCCTGGTCTCCTGCCGATGGCAGTGCTTTAGCATTAAGTGAAAATTAACGGAAAGGCCAGACTTCAGTCCTGGTCCGAACCCTGTGCAGCTGTCCGTACATGCTGTGCCTGTCCTCTGCTGATCCTGGAAAGCGAGGCTGGCAGTCGTAGTCACAGATCTGTGCTGTGAATTCCACTGTAGGAGTCGCATCAGGCTGGATAAAGTCCTGGCTGAGTGCAATTTTGTCCTCTGCAGTGCTGAGCAGATCACAAATCGAGGTCTTTTCCATCTCTAATTTGACGTGCTGTTGCTGTGTGACTGGGCTCGGAAGCAGCCCCATGAAGGAAAGGAACTCGATAGCTGCTGCAGCTCTTTCACTAGAGGCTGCCCAGGGATTCTGTTGACCTTGCAAGACCCTTTCTGTGGTTCCAGCTGGAGCCTAGGTGGGTAGCTGTGGCCACAGGCCAAGTTCAGAGAAATTATCCTCTTGAAGAATGTTGCTTTGGCTCCCATGTTGCCGCTTCCTGAAATAAGCCCCATGAAGGAAAGGAACTCGATAGCTGCTGCAGCTCTTTCACTAGAGGCTGCCCAGGGATTCTGTTGACCTTGCAAGACCCTTTCTGTGGTTCCAGCTGGAGCCTAGGTGGGTAGCTGTGGCCACAGGCCAAGTTCAGAGAAATTATCCTCTTGAAGAATGTTGCTTTGGCTCCCATGTTGCCGCTTCCTGAAATAAGCGCTGCTCTTGGCAACTCTCAGCAGCTAGGGATGGTGGGGGGAATGTCTCCTGCTGCCTCAAGGCTTATCTGTGCCTCTCTGGGCTCTTGGGACAGGTGCCTGCTTGCACGTGTCAGTGAGTTGCTGGCTTTGCTCTCTGTTGCCCTGGCATGGAGAACAGGTCTGGCTGGGTTTAAAGTTCTCCCCTAACTCAAGGCTGCCCCTGGAGTGTGCAGGCTAAGGGCCTGAACCTGGCTGGTTGCAGGCTCATGGGGAGCAGCGTGAAGGGAACCACAAAAGGTGAAGAGTGAGGAAGACTCCCCCTTGAAGAGGAGATGAGAATGTTACAAGAGGAGTAGATAAGATAGGGAAGAGCTGTGCTGCAGAGGCGGGGATGTGCACAGCAGCTCTGTTGACACGGTGAGCATGTTGGTTAAGTGACTTCTGCCTGGATTTGAGAGGGCTGCTTTTCCTCAGTCAGTTAGTGAGCACTTCCACACCGCGAGGTCACTTGAGCCACTTAACATCATCGCTTCATGGTAATTGAAACTGTAAATGCAGGGTTGATAAGTGACTCACAAGTAGGCTTTGCAAGAGATTCAATAAAAATAACATTGCTCAAGCAGCGCTGTACTACTCACACTTAACACATGAGATGTTTGTGAGCCCAGGCAGAGGCAGCAGCCGTGCCCAGGAGCCGATCACCTCTGTGGAGGCTCAGGCAGGTGCCCTTGTCTGAAAAAGCTTGTAGCCTCTCCAGAGAATTAAGTGCTGTGCCTGAGAGAAGAATTACTGTCTTAGAAGTGAATAAGAGTAGTAAAGAACTATCCCGTCCCATCATCTACTGCGTTATTTTAGCGTTGCCTCCTGTTTTGTTTCAGACACGCACAAGTGGTTCACGCCAAAGGTGTCTGGAATGGTCCCAGGAGCGAGAGATGGGCACTCAGCTTGTGTCCTGGCAAAGAGCATGTTTATCTTCGGAGGCTATGAACAGCTGGTGAGTAGTCTCTGTAAGTGTTATTAAGCGATCCCTTGGGAAAGAGGGTGTTCTACCCAGGACACTGGGTAAAGACAGGATACAGGGGCATATTTGTGTCCGTAGTTGCTTTCGTTTTATAGCTCAGCAAAGTTATGGCATTAATTACCCAGGTCACGTTCATTGTTTTGCAGAGAAGGTAGTTGGAAAAGTAGGCATAAAAAATGCCAGGTATTTTTCTTTTCTTCCCCAACAGATAGAGATTTATATAGAGGTTAAAATATAATTACTTTTATTTCTGGCTTATTTCTCAGCCAATTTTAGATAGATAAATACATATTTTTAAAATAAATATATATTGATCTACACTTATTTTAATTTGGCTGTGAAATGAGCCAGAAATTTCTTTCCAATGCCTGTGGTGTTGATGTTTCTGTCCTAATCTGATGCATGTTCCCTCTATTGGGTATCTGCTCTCAGATCATGCTGATCCCCTCCAGCAAACACTTGCTCACCCTCCCATTAAGAATACCTTGAGCCGAAGGCCATCCTGCCACTAGCTGTCAGTGTGCCTAATGCTCCTTTGAGCAAATCCTTATGCTCTGATCTTAAGAAGTGGGTAAATATCATTTCGGCCTACCCACAGGCTCCAGAAAAGCTGTGCAAAGTCACATCTGTTTATTTGGAGGCAGTCTGTTGGTTACTCCCCCTCTTCTGAGGACAACAGCGTGCCAAATCCACACTCTTGATTACAGCAGCAGGAGCAATTTAGATGTGGTTTGTTTTTAACTAAGACCAAACAAGCCGGTAGCTGCCTCGTTGCTATCCCTCTCGCTTGGAGAAGCAGGAGTCTGTGCTGTTCATCTGAATCCAGGCTCTTCCAGGCAGCTCAGTGCAGATGAATGTTGTGGGATCCTCGGAACCCCAAGCATACTTGCTCCTGGATATTTACCTTCCTAGAAGTAGCCTTAGCTTCTGCGTCCCATCGGGTGGCCTTAGCCCAGAGCCGGTTTGACTGTCCTGCTAGTGCCCCTTTCTTCTGTTGTGGCACGGAGTGGAGGCAGGGTTCTGCTGTGAATGTACGCCTTGCATGCAGAACAACCTTGGAGAGTGGAATTGAGCACTAAATCAATGGGAAAGTGGCAGGGAGAGGCAGGACAGCTTAGAGGAGATATGGGCTTTGCCTCCCTCTTGTTAAGTGTGCTGCCTACCCTGACATTTTGGAGCGAGCACCACGTGTCTTTGGAAGTACTGACTCCAAAGGGATGCTCCAGGTGTGTAGGACAGCATCCTTCCTGGGGCCAGATGCGACCGGGCTTCTCGGTCCCTTTGTGACTAGGCTGCCCCGCTCTCTTCCAGGCTGACTGCTTTTCAAATGATATCCACAAATTGGACACCACGAACATGATGTGGACCTTAATCTCTGCCAAGGTCAGTGTCTGCTTTTCACTCATTTTTGAAGGAAGTCTCTTATCTGGTATTCTCTGGGGAACCTGCCCACACTTGTCTCGCAGCTTCTGTCTGGTGTGGCTGGGATCTGCAGGAGAAGGCTGGACAGCTTCCCCATCGAGATGTGTCACCTCCTTGGGTAATCTGCCCGCTTCTTTTTCTGTTGAATTCTGTCTCTGCAGGGTACACCAGCTCGCTGGAGAGACTTCCACTCAGCTACCATCATTGGAACAAAGATGTACGTATTTGGTGGCAGAGCTGATCGTTTTGGGCCATTTCACTCCAACAACGAGATCTACTGTAACCGCATTAAAGTATTTGATACAGAAACAAACTCCTGGCTGGACTCCCCTCCAACTCCGGTGCTTCCTGAAGGCCGACGGAGCCATTCGGCATGTGAGTGTGGGTCTCTTGGGGAGGAGGACAGCGGAAGGAGATTCCTGCCTGCCTCAGAAAGGGTGTCTGGTCTGCTGGATGGAGATGTGGGTTAACAAGGGGTGCGCAGAGCCTGGCTTCTCTGGAAAGCTGCTGCCCCCCGAAAAGCCTCGTGCATAGCCCTGCACGTGAAGGTGATGTCAGCCAAGGTGGACAGCCAGCACCACTTTGCTTTCTATTTGGTGCTGGGACAGGGGCCTGCTGGGCTCTCTGCCTTGAGTGGCACACTGATGTCTGTGCTTGCTCCCAACAGTCAGCTACAACGGCGAGCTCTATGTGTTTGGTGGCTACAACGCACGCCTGAACAGACACTTCCACGACCTCTGGAAATTCAATCCAGGTATTTATACTTATTGCAGTGATAGTGCTCAAGGCCCTCAAGGGTGTGAGTGCTCAGATGAGTGTACTCTGCCAGCTAGGAGCCTGCTTGGTGGGGGCTGGCTCTTTTGACCGGAATTTGCCACTGTGCTTGGGACCCCTGCTGTTCCTCAGACTGCCTCCGAATCTCAGTTAGAAAGTAGAAAAGGAGGTGTTGCTGGAAGACACAGCTAATCAAAGGGTGGCTGGCAAAACTTTGTCTTGTTCTTGAATACGTGGAAGTGTTGGCAGAAAATAAGGGAAAACAATGGAGTTACGGGAGCTGGAGAAACCACTCAAGCTGCAGGATCACCGTACCACACTCTCTTGGTACCAGATCAAACTGTGAAGCAGAAGGGGTGGCTCTTCAGCTAGTACCCTGAATATCAGTCAGCTGTGAACTGTTTCAAGGTCCTCAAGCACTTTTCACAATCCATTACACTGATTTTGTTTGCTAATTGCCTTCCACAGTAAAGTTACCTGAGAGCAGCCAACTTACTGTTCCCCAAGCTGATCTCTGAGCTAATGTGAAAGCTCCTGAAGGTTTTAGTGCTGTGTTAGTGATTAATCATGCCCCAGCATCCTTGCCGCAGAGAGCAGCAAGGATGAAGGCTGCTATTTTCTCCACTCGTTCAGTTCCCCGTGCTCCCTTCCCACGACCAAGCTGTTCCTGCAGTCTCCACTCTGTGAGGATGCTCTGCTTTCACAGTGGTTGCCAGCAGGTGGAGCTGGTTCCTGGGTCTCCCCCCGGATCCGGGCGGCAGGAGGACGCTGGGGAAAGCAGGCTGTGGCCGCCTGCTCGTGGAGCTCTGCCCTGCACAGCTCCCTGTTGTGGCAGCCTGTGCCTCCTGACTCCCAGGCTTTGCAAGCAGGAGGCTTCGACCTGCCGCTCGCTTCTCAGCAGGCAGAGCTCCAGGGCTGTGCCTGACGTCTAAGCAGCGCTTTGGCAACAACCTCAGAGAAATGCATCATTTTGCCACTAGTGAGAAGGTCAACAGGGAGGGTGGGTGTTGGCTAGCTGGTGTCTGGGGCCTCCGGTTTTGCTGTGATCTGTTTAAAACCATAACCATCTCATACCTGGCTCTTGGCCAGGCTTTTGTGACAAGCTGGTGCACTCTTTTCCACCCCTTAGTTTCTCTGTCTTGGAGGAAGATTGAGCCCAAGGGGAAGGGCCCATGTCCTCGACGCCGGCAGTGCTGCTGCAGAGTGGGGGACAAAATCATTCTCTTTGGAGGCACCAGGTGAGTTGTGTGGGGTGGCTCTGTGAGAGGGTTTGCTGTTCCCTTCAGCACTGCATCCCTTCACGCTGTGCCCCTTGCCATAGCCAGATGCCCTTCAGAAGCAGATGACAGCTGTCAGTCTACCTTTCAAATGTAAGAAATCACATAGATCAGGGTTACGCGGCAAAAGGGCCAAAAGGGAGATGGAAGATGTCACGTGCGCTTGTAAAGCACCTAGTGGCGAGCCTTCTCATACACATAGAGGCAGAACATGCTGTTCAAGAGGGTCAAGTGTGAAAGGTGTTAGGGAGCGGGGAGGAGGTCCTGCCACCAGAAGGACAAGTATCCTAATTTGCTTTGCTGTAGCAGACCTCAGACTGATTTATTGTCCCCTACAAGCTGCCCTGCTTCTCCCACAAGAGTTTTTCTTTTGCTGGCAAGTGTGGTATCTGCAGTGGGATGTCATCTCAGCTGGGAGCTGTTTAAGAAGCCCGTACACATGACATTCTCATTTGTGCCAATGTTCCTCAGCAAAGTTTCCATTCACAAAAGGCACCTGGTGTTAAGGATTTAGCTGTCAAACACTAGAATTGATACTGTTAGGGTGCAGGGCCACTGGATGTGGCCAAGAGTCTTAACAGCTGCTAAAAGAAAGGAAGTGGCCCATCACCAGGACACGCTCTGTACTGTCTGGAGTGACAAATTGCAGCTCTCCAGCACAGGCCTATTTGCCAGCATCTACCTTGCGGAGACATCTGAAATGCTTTCAGCCATCCGCATGCTTTAGAGCTTTCTCTGGGACGCTGGCAGTGGCTTTTTGGGGATATTTCTGAAGACATGTTGAGGCAGAGGACAAGGCAGGGCTGGTTCTGCTGATGGGCTGACCATGCCAGTGTATGATGGAGTGAAGGGCCTTCAGGCCCTAGGAGTGCTGGAGGTGTGTGCTGAGCTGCAGGATGTCCGTGTGGGTGTGAGGGGGTGCTTAGTGCCAGTGAGGTTTGCAGAGGTGCTGAGTTTATCCAGTCTCCTCAACAGATACGAGGTGCTGCTGCATGTGCTGTAAGGCTTGGTGGTAGTTCTGGATGCTCTGGCTGCTCTCTCTGGATGCTGTGGTGTGGATCTGTATTACAGCAGTAGCTGAACTCTGATGTTAAACCTAGGCACTCCTAGGCAATACTAGCAAACCACAAGAGAAAAATTGAAAACCAGCTTTCTGCACTTTGGTCCACCTCTGCCCCAGGCAGTGCCTTGTCTTCTCCACTGAACGACTCCAGTATTCAACTCGTTCCTTAATCCAGGCTCAAGCCCGGTGCGGTTTGGAATAGGAAGGGCTGCTGGCAAGCAGGCATGCAGCCTGCCTGGACTGGAAGGTTGTCTCTTGCAGGCTGGGGAAGGGGGAGATGGGGGTGGGGACTGTGCTCGCTTCCTGTAATGGTTATCAGGTGTATTTTGGAGCTGCCTGGCAAGATAAGAAGTTTTCCAGGAAGTCGTTGTAACAGAGAACTCCCTGTGGTCTGCCTCCTGACCTGTGCTCCCCTGCCCGGGCAGGGGGAGGGGGAGCGCGCAGCGCAGGGGTCCAGCAGGGCTCCTTGGAGGGCAAGCCAGCAGGCTCAGCTCACTTAGCAGCAGCAGTGGGGGATGAGCAGGCAAAAGCCTTTTGCTTCCTGCCCTCCTCTACAGGATTCGCTTACGCCAAAAGCTGTTCAAGAGGCGCTTCTGCAGGGTGCCTGTGGAGTCCAAATGCTTCGTTTCTTTTTGTAGTTCCTGCCCAGAGCCTGGTGAGTTTGTCCCAGCTGTGGTCTCTTGCTGTGGCCAGCAACAATCCTGTCACTTGTGTCCTGTTTGAGTGACCAGGAAGTCCTGCAGCGCTAAGCTCAGTGTCCCCATTAGCTGTGTCACAGCTGTGGCCCTGGTCTGGTTTCCTCCCAAACCCACCAGCACTAAAACATGCAGGGACCATCCGTAAAGGAGAGCGAGGGGGAGAGGGAACGCTACAAAATAGAGTTTAGCTGAACAGATGCCCATCCAGGTTTAACTTGAGGCTGACAAGGCTTAGAAGTGCCTGGCTTTGGTGAGCGAGTAGTGACTCTCGCTGGGCACTTGGTGCAGGGCCCAAGAGCGTTCACCAGCATGTGGAGCTGCTCTTCTGCTGGGCCCTGGCTGGCCAAGGGGTGCCCCGTACCCTGCTCTCTGGGAGTTGCAGCTATCCTGGTCTTGAACTCCAGGCTTTCCCTAGCTGCTTGCAGTTCGTGATTAAAAGCACAGACGTGGTGCCTGCTGGCCTTCCTTTGAAAGATAAGGGATGGTCTAGGGTTTCCTGTGACGTGGATGTGAGATTAGATTGTGGCATGGTGAGCACACAGGGGTGGAATTAAAGGGGCTCTTGCCTGTATCCGGGCAGATGGGACCCATCAGCAACAGGTCTTCTCTGCCGGCAGCGAGCCGTGCCCCGCAGTTTGCGCTGGGGTTCCAGGAACCAGGGGAGGGCAGGTGCTGTCTCCTGTTCTGTGAGGTGTGAAGCTTAGTGAGTTGTAGGTGGGGAAGCAGCTGACACTGAGGTGAGAAGTCACTGCGTGAGGTCCAAGCTAAGCACTGAGGACACACTAAATTGCTTTGTCACAAACCAAGGCAGGACTTAAAACACTTTTCCTTGAGAGCCATGGGAGTGCTTTCCCCTGGTCCAAGCACTGTTCCAACACAAGCTGGTCTCTCTGTGCTAGGGGATGTCTCTCTCGTTCTTTGGCTGTTCCACCAAAACTGCAAAGGCAGGAAACCGTAGATGAGGCTGTCTGTTCCCTGGAAATGCCTGAAGTCATAGCTCCTCACTGGCGTTCCAGGCCCAACATCAGATGGGAGTATCAGCTAATTGGGATTGGTTTAACTGACTGCTGCTCCAACCAGTGCCTGACGCATGCTCAGTTTTCTGAAATGCCATCCCCATTTTGGCACAATCGAGGAGCTGTGGCTGGAGCCCATGGTGATTCCTGAGTCAGACTGAGAAGTGCCTGTGCTTGCCCTGCCACACAGATGTTTCCTAGCTGCTTTCTCTACACTTCTCCTACAACGCCCATGCTGAAATAATCGCAGTAGATCTTACCCGTGTGAGAACTGGTGCAATGACCAGTGTGTGGCTGGGCAGAGTCTGTTTCAGACCTTGTGCTGTTGTTCTTTGCGCTCACACAGCAGAATCCAAAACCGGTACGGTTGCTGGCCTAGTCAGAAGAATGCAAGCTAATAAAATAGGATCTTTTCCTGGCTGCAGGTTGCTAACCTGTAGGCTTTTGCTGGAGAGTTTGTGCTAATGTAGCGGGTATGTATGGCTATTGCAGTGAAAGAGCTGCCAGTAAGCCACGCAAAGACTTCAGCATCTGCTTCAGGTGCTTGTTTTCTGCTGCTGCTTTTGCTCCTTTGTAGAAACAGCTGAACTTAGGCAAATCACCTTCCGTATTGTCCTAATGAAAAGGAGCTTGGCTTATCGCGCTCTGGCCTGCCGCAGTGCTGCAGCAGCACCATGCACACTGCCGCTGTCCCCGGCAGCATCAGTACGCCTGAGAGCTTTCAGACAGGAGAATCCAGCCCACAGGTTTCCATGGTGTGACTGATGAGTACATATGGCATGTGGCAGTCTGCAGATGTTCTCTGCAGCCCTGGGAAGCAAGAGCAGAGGTGGGCAGGGAGAGCACAGCAGTGTTGCCTGCAGCATGTGGCTCCTTTTGTTGCTTCTCCGAGTTGCAGAAGGTTTGGATGGCCACTAGCTACTGGCTGAGTGTGCCACCGTCTCTGGAGATGGGTCTTGGCTCCCATGATTTGTGGCCCTGCAGCACAACTAGAGAGCCTCGCAAAAAGTCCTCTCGAGTCTCCAGTTTATCTCACCTACCTCTCTAGAGACACCAGCACAGCGTTTTGGATTTTTGTATTGTGTCACTGTGTAGTGTCTGACTCTTCCTAGACTGGATGCCTGTCTTCTGTGATGTTCTCCCAAATCCCTGTGCTTCCTGTTGCATGCCTCCACTTGGCTGCGAGGTGAAGCTGGCCTGAGGTCTGTAGAAAGACACGGTGTGAGCTGTGTTGTGGTGCCCCATGTGTTGTTTAGGGCCAGGGTAGGGATGGGCTGACCCCCTGTCTGCCCCAGAATTTTGATCTGTGTATAGATCAAAAAAGTCATTGTTACCAAAGTCCTGACGTGTTACCAAGGCAGCTTCCAACAGTGTGCTGGGTTCTCCAGGTGATGCCAGCCTGCTTGGCCCTGCCTGCCCTGGAGCAGCCCATGGGGCCTGTTTATCACACAGAGAGTGGGACAGATGCTTACGCAAGCATGCCAGCCTGTCTTCAGGAGCCGCTGTAACGTCAATGCTCCAGCCTGCTCAGTCATCCTCAGCCTCATCCCGGGGCTCAGCTTTGCCTCTCTGAGTAGAGCTCTTTGGAGGGTTGGACCCACTTAAAGTGCTGAGCAAATACAGCCCTGAGACAAGCCTTAGATTGGGAGGCAGCTGTTTGTTAGCACCCTCCTCAGGTCCTGAGGGTGGGTGGCAGAGTTCTGGGGGAAGGCTCCAGGGTTACACAGTTTTTGGAGAGCAGTTTATGAGGTACCTGAGGAGGGAAGAGGGTGAAACCAGCCAGAGTGAGACCTGTGTTTGGAGGTGCAGGTGAGGTGAGAGGCAGGCCTGCAGCTGGAGTCACTGTGATCAGTCATGAGAAGGAGACAGCTCCCACATTCCCTGCTATGGCTTGCAGAGGAGATAGTGTATGTTTCTGTCCCTGACTCTGTGCAGCTCTGCCTGCTCTGTCAGGATCTGGGAGAGTAATGGCTTCGGGGAAAACAGAGGGACAGGAGAGATCGAAGGGCCCCTGCATGGGGCAGGTGGGCCCCGAACAGTCCAGGACTTGCTCAGCCCTTGGGGAGCCCAAGGGACTGTAACTGGTGTACAAGCATTCTGGCTGTGACTGATGCACTTCGCTTCGTTTCTGCAGCCCGTCTCCAGAGGAGGGAATGGGTGACGAATTTGACCTGATGGATCACTCGGATCTCTACATCCTCGACTTCAGTACGTGAGCGCTCCCTGACCAGCTTGTGCCTCTCTCCCACAAGGTGCCCTGTGAGCCGGCCCTGCTGTGAAGCACCACACCATGTCCTGCCTGGCTCCAGGTGCTTGCCTCTCGGAGCCAGGCTGCTGTCTCTGGTGGCTGTGTGTGGCTTGAGACAAACCAGCCAGAGATGCGGCTGTGCTTCAGGCCTGAGCTGGACTCACGGCTCTTTGCGTGCTTCTTCACAGGCTTCTTGTGGGAGCACAGAAAACCGTTCCAGCCTGGCCCTGGTGTGCAGCCTGCCTTGTCCCTCAGAGGGATGGCCGGGGTGCTTAGCCCTGTTTCTGGCACTGATTGCACCATGCTTGGACACCTCCCACCCCATAATGTCCAGACGAGGACTGCTGTGGCTAACTACCCTCTTTCCACAGGCCCCAGTCTAAAGACGCTGTGTAAACTAGCAGTGATTCAGTACAGCCTGGACCAGTCCTGCCTTCCCCACGACATCAGGTACTGCGTGCCTTGCTGGGCAGTCACCCCACGGGTGCTCCCTCACCTTGGGATGTTCCAGCCCTGGCTGAGGACTGCCTGGGGCCCTCTTTGGCACTGTGCAGCTTTTCCGCAGGCTGGGCTGAAGACAACAGCTGAGGCTGACATGCAGCAGAGCTGCTCCAGCCCTGAGCACTGTGTTCGTGCTTTCTCTCAGTCTATCCCATTGGTTTGTTACAGATGGGAGCTCTCGGCCATGACAACAAACAGCACCATCAGCCGCCCCATCGTCTCGTCCCAGGGCTGACGTTGGCTCGTCCCT